AAAAAAAAAAAAGAAAGTAAATCAACCCCCAGTGGAGCCTTTCAAGTACTTCAGCCCCTGTTGACAGTTTGATTAAAGCCTTGAGTGAGACCCTAAGTCAGAGAGTTCAACTGACTGCACCCAGATTCCTGACCCACAGAAACTGATAAATAATAAATGTTGCTGTTTGGGTGGCACCTGTGGTTCTAAAGGGTAGGGCATCGGTCCCATATGCCAGAGGTGGTGGGTTTAAACTCAGCCCCGGCCAAAAACTGCAAATAAATAAATAAATGTTGCTGTTTTAAGCCAGCATGCTTTGGGGTAATTTGTTATGCAGCAATAGGCCATGAAGACAGCTGGGAATACTCCCCTCCACACTTCCCAATTCTCCAGCTCCTATGTGTCTTCAGGCCTCACATTTAAATTCAATTCCTTAGGAGTGACATCCCCTTTCTCTGACAAGCCCCCTACCGCCTGTAGATCTCTGGTTGTCCCCACTCCGGCATCCCCTCCTCTTCTGCAGCACTCGTCACCCCTGCAGTCAGTCCAGGATTTGGGCACCCCCCCCACTGTCAGTTCCATGATAGAACAAGTTATATTTTGTCCACAGTGAATTCTAGCACCTAATGTGGTGCCTACCACAGTGTGGGGATAAAATAATTGTAGAATGAAAAAATGAATAAACAAATGGATGAATTAATAAATGAAGTATAGCAAAGCCTCATAGTTCAGAAAGGAAGGAGAGAAAAGCCAACTAAAGATAGTTATAAAAGTTTCACAATTACCAGGCTTTCTTGTAAAAAAAAATACTTTACAAAATACAAAAACCAAACCTCCCCCCCAAAAGGAGAAACACCTGTCAGCACATACTAGATAAACAATTGTTATGGAAGGTGCTTTATAATCAAATTTTCCACATAAATAAAAAGTCCAACAAGTCCTCAAATAACTAAAAGTAGACCTTACATTTGATCCTGAAATCCCGTTACTAGGCATCTATCTTGAAGAAAAAAGATCATTTTACCAAAGGACATGTGCACTAAAATGTTTATCACTATCACCAAGATAGTGCCCATCAACTCAGGAATGGATTAACAAACTGTGGTATATGTATACTATGGAATACTATGCAGCCCTAAAAAGATGGAGACTTTATACCTTTTGTATTAACCTGAATGGAGTTGGAGAACATTCTCCTTAGTAAAGTATCTCAAGAATGGAAAAGCAAATATCCAGTGTACTCAATACTAATGTGAAACCAAGAGAAAAACTACACACACACACACACAAAATGCAATTAAATTTTAGTGGGGAGGAAGGGAGGAAAGGGAGAGGAGCTGAGCAAGAGGGACTGGTGTGCTTTCACTAATGTGCACAATGTAGGGGTATACAGCACACCCCTCTTAGTGAAGGGCTCAACTAACTACAACTTGGACTTTGCCTGACTAACATAAACTATGTAACCTAATCGTTTGTACCCTCCTATTAATCTGGAATTTAAATTAAAAATCCAATAGGATTATCTGGCAGTCAGGGTTTTGATTAAAACTTTTTTGTTTTTGGCTCGGCGCCTATGGCTCAACCGGCTAGGGCGCCAGCCACG